AGCTCTTCTACCCTTCCTATCATCTCAGCGTAAGTGAACCTTTGCCAGTAGATGGCGAACCGCTGGTCCTCCCCAGTCAAATGAAAGTTGGCGATGTAACATTTGACCGCCTCCTCCCCAGCCTGTTGAGTCTCAACTTCAACCATCTTTGTCTCTTTCACATAATATCGTATTTGCTCTTCCAAAAATTGATTGGTGTCCCTACTCCCGTTGAGTTCTAAATTTTTCTTCTCCAGAGCCTCTGCAGTTATTTTTTGGTGGTTGTCTGAGGTCTCCACCTTCTTAGTTAATGAGGCTACTTCATATTGGGATTTATAGGCCTCATTTTGTAGAGCCTCTATCTCAACCAATGCAGAACTCAGCTTTGCCTCATCCTCAACTTGCTTGGCCCTCATCAACTCAGCCTCAGAATTTATTTTCTTTATTTCGGCCTCGGTAGCAGTAAATTTGTCCACAGAGGCTCTGTTCCTCCGCTGAATGTAAGCCAAAACTTCTTAACATTCTAGGGCCACCCAAAGGCCCTAGTACTTTAGCTTACCACCATTGCTGTAAGGTCCACTGCATCACAAGTAGACACATACATCTTCCACCGCTCCATCCAAAATTTGTTGAAATTTTCTGTAGCACTCGTGACCTTCGGTGGTAACATCTCCACTACGGCCGGGGCGATCTGTCATCCCGTCTCGCCAAGAAATTCCCAAATTTGCCTGGGATCCTCTCCACCTGGCCCTTCTTGGCGGCCTCGGAGGCTGACGCTCATTCCTTATCAGCCTCGTCTTTAGCCTTCCGAACTTGCTCAGTCTTCACGGCCTTTATTGCCGACTCTAGGAGCTTTTGCTGTTGGGCAACACCCTTCTCAGAATGGGACATAGTAGTCCCAAATTTCACTGGAGCCCCACCAATGTGGACTAATTTCCTTTTTTCCTGGGGTTCTTCCATTTTTCCTTTCCCTTTATCTGCAACCCTCTGGCCCTTCTTGGGAGCCTTCTCCTCAGCCCCCTTCTCAATTTGAACCTTACTGAGGCGCTCCAACTTGCCTCTAACTTGTTTAGCCTATGTGGAAGAGGGGTTAAGGGCCTTGGCACCAGTGAGGCAGTGGCCTTTAAAATAGTGGCCATATCCGGAGCGGGGTACTCCTTCTTTGCGAATTTATCTGCGAATACCCAAAAAGAGGTTAGAAGCCTACAACAAGCTAAATGAAATGAGAACAAGTGAAAGAGCCCCATACCTTTGGACGCCATCAGTCTAAAATCAATGAAATATTTGCTTCGGTCTATGAGGTGGTCGAAGTTTTGAGGACCGCTTGTAGATGTCCTCAATCACGTCCCACTCCGCCTCGTGGAGTTCAAAGCGCGTACCAGAATCTGCAAATAACAGCAATTAGCATGAGGCACAAATAATAAATTGAAACTATGTATAGCAAGGCACTCATATAATTCATAGTACCGGGTCGGTACTGTGCAGGCTGGGATAGTGTCTCCCTCCACCATCTGCCATATATCCTTAACCCAGAACCAGGACTCTTCCAGCCCTTGATGGAGGAAGGAAGCCCCACGACCAATGGAGCATCACCCCCCCAGGGAGTGAGGTAGTACCACCATTTGGAGTTATCTTTCCCTACTACCCGAACTTGGAAGATAGTTAGGAAAACATGCAGGGACATGTCCTCGCCTAGGGATACATCCTTCTAAAGGAAGTAGTCCCCAACTAATTGACTCAACCCGTTTGGTAAAGTTTGGGTGGGAGAGAGCATGAAGGTCTTCAGCACCGTCCTAAAGAAGTGGTGCAGAGGCATATGCACTCCTGCCTTAAGCAGGAATTCACTAATCGCCACACCACCCGACCTCGAAAAGTAGGCACGTTTGTGGGCTTCAGGAACTAACATCTCTACATAATGAGGAATGCAATATCTTTCCCTAAGTTCGACTAGTTTGGCGGAGGTTATGGAGGAAGGAATTTTTGCAGCCCCCCAACCCGCCTAGTAATCTATGGGTTTCTCACTCATCGTATACCACTTTTCTGACTCCCCAGACACTGACTCTTCTCCGAACCTAGCTACTGTAACCGCTCTAAACGCCTCAGAATCCATTAAAAATCGCAAGAAGTGATGGAAAAATTACAAAAATTGATGTAAGATTGTGAAAAGGATTTCACAAGAAAATACCTACGGAGGAACGGGACCTAAGAATGCTCGTCGGAGAACAAAAAATGCCAAAAAATATTTGAAGGTCAGAGTACTTTGAGAACTCAAGTGATTTTCGAAAAAGTAAAACTTCAAAATGGCATAATTTTGGTTTTTATATGAAGAACGGGTCCATCCTAGTCGTTGGATCAAGACCCAGTGAATCTGAAGCATTTAATTCTGTAATGAATCTGAGCCGTAGAATTCAAAAGGTAAATTGCACCAACGCCTCAGATCCATTCGTGAATATCACGTACCTGCCTCGGCGCATTAGTGCTTATCGTAAAGACGCGTAGCCATCATTGCACATTTAATGTGACGGTCGTACGGGTATTGGAAGTTGCACCACCTCAGCTGTCTCATCTTGGTAACATGCAAACCTATCAAATCATGACACCAATATCAAGGGCAATCAACGCCAATGAGCATCGGCAGTTCAACGTCTCACTGCCTCAACTCCAAAAACAAATTCAAATATCTTCCAAGTAAATGAGCTTCGGCAGTTCAGCGTCCCACTGTGGGACTAGCACGATGGATCAGAAATTTTAAAGCTTTCTTGTGATGCCCAATGAGGGTACTTCGTTGACTACTAAAAGTCCACACATAATATAAATAATCATACATGGACTTGGGGGACTATTGTTATGACTTGCTACTAGCATTTGCCATGTTGCCGACCTAATGAAGTTGTAGACCCATTTTTACTGAACCACTAGCCTAGAAGACGAGGCCCATATGGTAATTTTCGAGGCCCATTATTAATTCGATGTGAACATGCTGAGGAGGCCCAGATCCGAGGCCCAACACGTCCGAGGCTCCACTCCAATTAGTGACGGCCCACGTACAGAGATCTTGAATTTATTATAAAGATCTTATTTGAATGATTGATGTGACTTGTAAAAAGTGTATTTTGTGTCATTTCGATTGCTTGTTGACCCTGTGAATTGCGTAAAAGTAGGATACTCCAAATTCGGGGGTAAAGGGGCCAGTCATCCTAAAATTAGGATTCATTTCTTGTCGCAAATATTCACTACATCGAGTTATTTTGATAAAAATAAATAAATGAAAATAAAAATTGAAAAGACTACTAGAAGAACTAGACCGGCGATGTGGGTTACACATTGTGGTGTGCTACAGGTTGAAGATGAAATGAATTTCTATCTTTTTTAGTCCTATCAACTTGTTCCGACCTAGATAATTTATGCTCGTGAGCTTGGTCTTACTTCAACGTCGGGGCCCGCTATGCCAAAAGCGAACTAGGAGGTCAAAATGATGGGTAGGATTTGATGCTTCGGCCGGAGGGATGAGGCCACGTGTAATTTCATCTAAGGGTCATCATTCTGTCTGTAATACTATAAATATCCCCACCATGTAACAATTGATGACTAATGCAACTTTAGATACTTGGAGCAATTGGTTTTATTCTCTTACATTCATTTACAATCTTAAATTTGAGTTCATTGTGATTGGATATTATTATACAATCGTATCCCGGATATCTTGCCGGAACCCGAATGGAAACGTCTCGTGTCGTTGAGCTTCTCCCACGTCCAATTATGGAGTGATCTCGACCGTTGATCCGCCTTTACGTGTTGGATCTAGCTTGCGCATGCATGAGTGAATCCTGCATCTGTTGCCATCATATTTTGAGGTCAACAACCATCATCAAAATGATACCTCAAATTTGAAAGTGAGAAATATAAAACTTTTTATATTACAATTTTGCCCTTAGTTTTTCTAAGTATCACAATTAAGTCCTATATTGTTCTCCAATTCTCAAATGGCTCATATTTTCATCAATGACACTTAAGTTCAACATTCATTTGATTACATCTTATTTCCAAAAGAAAAATACTTGGTCCCTTAAGGATTTAAAGATTTTCAACTTGGTCCTCAAGTTCTTCGGAGTATTACATTAACACCCCGTTTGATTTTCATTATTCTAGAATGAGAAAGAAAAATATAACCATTATTGGATCCCACACAAAAGATAGAAATTCAAAATTGATGGCTTAATATGATGGATAACGGTCATATTTTTCATTTTTATGGATGGAAAATGAGAATCAAACGGGCCCTAAATGTCATCAAGGGGAGGAGGTGCTCATTAAAGGAAAGTTGGTGATAGAAGTGCAACAAAAAGGATTAAGTACTTGTCTGGGCATGATTTCCATTCCAAGAAATTGATTATTTGCCCGTTAAAATCTGACATATAGACACAGAAATTTGCAGCAAATTTGGATATTTTGATCGTTGCTTTGTTCAAAGGTATGAAAAGCAATTCTTTACCTGATTTTAATCTATCCCAGAAAGCCTCTAAATATATTAATGCACAATTTGAAAATATTGTGAACCTTTCCTGCAATTAACGCTAAATGAAAATATTGACTTAATAAAAGAAAAATTTTAGTAGTTGAGTTGTGAACAGTAACAATAAAATTTTAATCTTCTTTGGAAGAAAACCTAAGCTCAAAACAAATGATTGATTTCTTGGTTCAATCATTTTATTTTTTACTTAAAAGAGTTTGTTTGGCACAAATTTCTTAAAGCGAAAAACAATTTTTGGGTCCAATGAAAAGTTTTTCTTTATAATGGGCGGACCGGACCGGATAGCGAGTGGCCGACACCTGAATAAAGACGCGATGTCCGGTCCCTCGAGTCTTTCCCATTGTTTTCTCGCTCCCCGTCACTTATCACACACTGTAAAACCCCATTCGTTGAAGTTTGGGTTTCTGCAGATCCATTTGCTCTAATTGAATAAATCAAAATTTCAACAAAAATTAAAAGATATCAAAATCGAAAGTGGAGATCGGCTTCGATGGTTAATCCTCGCGCTGCTCGTTTTTCATCTCTAATTTTCATTTTCCTCCTGGTAAGTTACATTTTTTATTTTTATTACTTTAACTGGTTTTAATGCGCTGAATTATTCATTTGCGTGAATCGAATTTACATTTTTTCGCATTTTTGACTATTTTGTTTATGTTGTATGAATATATAATGTATAATTTTATGCACGCTTTGGAAGATTGAATAAACACGTAGAGAAAAATTAATGGTTGGAGGAGAGGGGGATATACTAATTGATATTTGTATGACGTTATGTGTCAGTTATTAGGAGATATGTCATATGGGTCTCCGTTTGGGAATCGTAAAAGCGGGAAATCATCCGTGTTTTCATTGTTTAACCTCAAGGAGAAGAGTCGATTCTGGAGTGAATCCGTTATACGCACTGGTATGTTTTTTACATGCAGTTATTCCATTTTTGTTCTCTGTATATTTAGTGTTTCGATTCAGTCTCGAATAGTTCTGTTGTAAATGTAAATGCTGGTTTGTACAGATTTTGATGATTTGGAATCATCTAACCCGAGCAAAATGAGTGCCATCAACTACACCAAGGCAGGTACTGTATCCTGATGCATCTCTCAGGACAATCTCCACGACTATAGGCTTGGTTACCTTAAATCTATTTTGCCATTTTTGGTTAATTTCTTTTTTATGATAATTATTTTCTTATACGTGTTTATTAAGTTAAATAGTTGTAGCTTCCACTAATAAATAAGTTATAGGTTGAATTTCTATATAGTAGGGATTAGGGAGATAATGTATGATTCTGTTAGTTATTTCGTTATTTGAAGCCCTTATGATGATGCTTAAAGGTTTTGTTGCCTGGCTTATCTTTTAATCAAATTTTAGTAGTGGTAGAAGCTTGAGGTACATCAAACACCAGTTAAAATTCGATCCTTCCAAATTAGAACAGAACTCCTATTCTTAAATGAACTATGGCCACAGCAAGATGATTGCTTTGTTAGCTGAATTTGATGTTAGTAACAATAATTTAGAGGTAACCTTATGACCCCCCGTCACTGGACCTCTTTCATTCAGGAAATGATAGCCAATGATGTGGGGATATGCATATGTCTGCATTTTATTAAAACTTCAAGCTCCAGATGTGTGCTTAGTTTTCTTTCTCCACGGAAAGTTAACGACAATAAAGAAGCCTATAGATTCAAAAATTAGAAATCCTACTTCTTACATCCTATCCAAAAGTACTACAATTTTTAAGTGTGGAAATGAATAATTTTGCTGTTAGTTTGTGCAATAAACATCCTTGAAAGAAGAATGCCTATACAAGACGTGCAGCACGCTGAGCATACTGCTTCCTAGTTCTAGTGGAAAAATTCTATCCATGTGGATAGCTGGCAAAGTCCAAATTCTTGCAAGTCTGATAGAAAAAGGATTCTAGTGGATTGTGTCGTTGATAGTTTACTTTGTCTTTTGTTTGTTAGTTGCTTCTTCTTGTGTAACTGACAATCTACATGCAACTTGCAAATTAATGCATTCTGAGAAGATCAGTGGAACCTTCTTTTCACTGTGATTTTGTTGTATCAATGGAGCACAAGTTCAACAATTTTGATCACCCTATGGGGTTCTCCCATTTATTTTGTTAATAAATTTGATAAGCTCACATCATAATCAAAATCCCCTTCATTCGTATTGTAAGCATTATTTCTCTTGAAATCTAGGTGATATTGCAATTTCTTAGAAATTAAAAGTTTTGCTTTTTCTTGAATCTTAGGTAATGTTGCAAATTATTTAAAGCTTTTGGAGGTGGACTCAATGTACCTGCCAGTCCCTGTAAATTTCATTTTTATTGGATTTGAAGGAAAGGGGAACCAAGGTACGCGACAACACTGTTTAAAACTTTCACGCGGTCAACTTTTTCCCTATACTTTGTAATGCAATATGTGGTTTAATTATAGCTCTGTTGTTTTCTCCTTTCCAGAATTTAAGCTAAATGCTGAAGAATTAGAGCGTTGGTTCTCAAAAATTGATCACATATTTGAACATACAAGGATTCCGCAAATTGGAGAAGTCCTAACGCCATTTTACAAGATTAGCATAGATCGAGAACAACATCACCATCTTCCCCTAATCAGTCACATCAGTTACAAGTACTATTCCATTGCTTATTTTTTTCATTCTGATGTTAATGTCGGCTTGTCTGTCTACTTTAACAATTGATATGTCACTTATTTATTGTGATTTGTCATTCTTCTAGTTTCTCTGTTCATGCCATTCAAATGGGTGAAAAAGTCACGTCTATATTTGAGCGAGCTATTGATGTCCTTGGGCGCAGGGATGATGTGTCCAATACCAGGTACATATCGACCAATCATCTCAGTTACTTCCATTATATTTTCTTTTGACTTATTTCATTTTCTTGTGCTCTTTTTATGTCATGTCCATCTGCTTCTCCTGAAAGGGATGATGGAACAGGGCTTTGGCAAGTTGATCTTGATATGATAGATGTCCTCTTCACCAGCCTAGTGGAGTATTTGCAATTGGAAGATGTGTATAACATCTTTATCTTGAACCCCAAGCGTGATGCTAAAAGATCTAAATATGGCTATCGGTAAGTCTTCTACAAATTGCTCTAGCACAATCTATTTATACTTCTGTGAAACATTGATAGGCAATTATTTGCCTTTTAAGGACCCATCTATTTGGCTCTTCGTCTAAGATGGCCTGAACTTATGTGCTTGATATCTCTGTTGTCTTCATGGCCTGACAGGAAGAATAATTCTTGTTGTACATAATTATTGTACATAGAGCTTGACATAACACTCACATGTGGTGGACCCCACCAAAATGGTGGGCCCCACCCCATGTGAGTGTTATGTCATCCTCTATGTGTATAATTATGTACCCCAAGCAAGACCTTGACAGGAATAAGATAATTAAAATGCAGACCCTTGTCCATAAGGGAGGCACCTTTCTAGTATTAGATGATGATTGCTATCTTGAACTTTGTATTTATATTGTCCAAGAAATATACTTGTGTTTTATTTGATATGGGGAAGTGGAAGTTGGGGGATTCTTTGAAGGTTGATTTTATTGCTCTTAGAAGGTTTGATCGTCAGATAAGACTTGTTTTTTATCTTCAAAGGCTTGATTTTTTATTAGATTATTGCACCCACATCCTCCAATTTTTCAAAGAAATTATTGAAAGATTAAGTTGTTTGTTGCTCAATCTGTAAAGCACACCAAATTAATTTGCTGTAATGGGTGCACTGGCTAACTGAATGAACAACTTATATGATGCCAGATTATGAATACCGGGTTGGAGATACATGTATATCACTTCGATGACCGGGTTTGATACAGCGAGTGCGAGTCTAATGGATTTGCATGGACTAGATTCAGAGTCTAATTTTGTGGCACTCACATATTCAACCCAATATCACACAATGTCTTTTTATTAATCATAACTACCACAAACAAACATTATAAGTTGGAATGAAGTAAACAACTTGAAGTTGAAGGAAAACAACTAAGAGCAGTAGAGGTTCAATCTATTAACTATCCAAATCTTTCATAGAAGCATGGAAGATCAGGAAGTTGATATAATAGACCCGTGTGATCTGACAAGAAAGTGAGATTTTGGAGAACAGAAAAATCACGAGAAAGTGGAAAGGAAAAGGAGAAGGATATTCATAATTATTAACTGTTGGGTAAATGATGATACTGGGCAGTTGTCTGGACACATAGTCCTGCAACTTTGCAACTTAAATATAGCTGGGTTTTGGGGACGGGCTTGGATCAACTTTTGATTAAGTGTGCTTGAAAATTGGGTTTCTGCACATATAAGAAGTTCTAGATAGGTTCTGTGCGCATGTAGAATTGTTGAACCGTCAACCTTTGTTTAGGCTTCAAAGCTTATGGCTATTCTATGTAACAACCCAATTCTCTATGCCTAAGCCGTTGTATCATACTATCTGCTTTGAAAGAACATTTGTCATATTACGTCTCACAACTTTCTTTCACATTTTCCAAAATTCGAACCAAAACCTCTGTTTTACGAGAGACTTTAGTTGAATCCTACCCCTCATGGCTTTGTTTTGCGTCTCTCAAGATTCGAATCAAGATCGCTGCCTTTTGAGAGACTTAAGTTGAATCCCGTGAGATGTTGTCCCAAAGCGAACAATACGTTTTATAAACAAATTGATACGGATGTCCAATTGGTATTAGGATTCAACTTAAGTCTCTCATAAGATGGAGTTCTTGGGTTCGAATACTGCAAGCCGCATCAGAAAGCCGCGAGGAATAAGATGAGTCCAAATTCAACTTAAGTCTCTCATAAGATAGAGGTTTTGAATTCGAATTTTTGAAGACTCGACAGAAAGCCGTGAGTGAGGGGTAAAAGGGCAAATGCTACAGTACGGCTTGGGCACAGAGACTTGAGTCGTTACACTCTCTGCTAATATTATCTTCCAGATTTGGACTTTGGCAGCTCAAAGGGATTTTGGCATTCTCTTATTTGTTATCCATGACTTTAGATAATCAAAGGGCATACTGGTTTGAGGCAGATATGAGTAATATGGTATAAAAATTTGATCTGTACTCATTTAAATGATCCTAGTAGGATGCTTGCCTAACTGCAATCCATTGAACATTTTATATATGCAGCTCTTTGCTATGACTCCTTTAAAAATAATTAGCATCTTAATTTTTTATACATTTCCCTAATTGGTTATATTTACTCTATCGCCTACACAAACTGAGGTTTCTATTAATAATCTTGTTACATGGGCATGGGCCAACTTGAATGTTACTATGGTGCAGTGGCGTTAATAATTCTTGTTATAAGAATTGAAATAAGAACTATATTGGAATAACTTTCTTTGTATTGATTGAATAATGATTGGTGTAATGTAAAAGTATACAATACCTCTACATTTATAGGCAAGATTATTCACTAATCCTATTAATACAAGGAAACTACATTTTAAAAGGAAATAAACTAATCCCAATCTAAACAAGAGATAAGAATAAAAAGATAAAACCTATTACAACTAAATATCTTATTATAATTATCTAACATTTATCACAATAGGATTGTCCTACATCATACTAAGCAGTCAAAACCTAGTGCATTCTTCTATATTTGAGTTAATGTTATGTCAAACTAGAAGGTAGAACTGTAACTGTATAAGAATGGGTTTCATGGGATTCATAATTAATTTATTTTCTTCAAATTCTGAGTCATTGAGTTGGTGAATTTATTTTATTATAATTTTATAGGAAAAGGCATTACTGGTATTCATTTTTCCCTCTGGACTTTGAGATATGATATTTACTGCACAGAAATTTTTTATCTGTCTGGACTGAGCTTTGGGTTCTAAGTTAAAAAGAAACCCCCCCCCCCCACCCACCCGGGCGGGAAATAAAAGAAAACAAAGTTAAATTTGAGATATGTAATTTATGAGTGTAATGATTGCTGTAATTATATTTTTTATGCTATACTTGGTGACATGTATGAATATTTTTTTTGATATTGACGTGTTGATTTGTTCGCAGACTCGTGACTCAGTGCACACGACTGCTGTCATTTTGGCTAATGCTAATATGATATATTATGTGTGCTAAATACATGTTTGGGAGTATTTGTTTTTGAAGAGTGATTTATGTCAGCTTGTATGTTTTTAGAATATGTGGGTGTAAAACTTGTCTTTATCACCTTAGAATTTAGATTGGTTAATATGACAAGGTTCCGGTAACCAGATCTGCTAATTGCTGCTTGAGATTAGATATATTTTGGTAGGTATTATATTTGAGGTAGCTAGAGAAAAGAAAGAAAGAATATCTAGTCAATGCTGAGCATCTAATCTTTTTCTAGTGCTATTTTTTTTCTGAATATTGAGAAACCAAAAATTACAAGCCGTGTGACTGGCAACTTCTTTTTAATTTTTAGTAAACATTGTCGGACAGGTGGGTAATGCTTTTGTACTAACCTAATGCTGTTTGCAACATCTAAATGATGTCAATCTTCTGAAAATGTGGCGTCCCTGATGAAAATTGAATCTTTCTGATGTATGTAGTGATCCTTCAGATTTTCTAGATACTTTTTCTGGGTATTTTTACTAACTCTTACTTAATTTCGCAGGAGAGGCTTATCTGAAACTGAAATAAACTTTCTCAAGGAGGTACATGTTAAGATTTGTAATATCTCGTATATCAATTGTTCGTGTTTGACATTTACTGCGCTCTCTATGTTTTTCAAATTCATATACATCTTTTCTTGTGCTTCACATTTAACTGTATCCAAAATGTTCTACATTTTCTACTATATTTTGTAAAATTACACCTTTTCTGCTGGTTTATTTGGTTATTCTTCCCTTTCCAGTTGTCTGGTATAGTATAGTATTCTAGTCTGAATTATCTTTAGTTAACATGACACTAGGTTTTCGTTGTATGTTGTATTGGGTTGATTCCGTCCTGACTAGATGTTCTCTCTGTAGAACAAGGGCTTGCAAACAAGAATTCTTCAGTCTGGAAGTATACCTGAAAGTGTTCTCGGTTTGTACTGTGTAGAACTTTTCTTTAGCTCTTTTCCTCTTTCCTCTTGGCATGAATAGATAAATATTTTCTTTCAGTTATTTCTATGTCAACTAATGAGCTTCTGTATCTGGACTTTTTTTAGCCCTTGATAAAATCAAAAGACCATTGTATGAAAAGCATCCAATGGCCAAGTTTTCCTGGACTGTGACGGAAGAGGCAGACACGGTTGGTTATCCTTCTTTGAATTTTGAAGCAAAACACATTTTCTGAATCTAAGTGCGTCAAATACAATAGGGAAACATTTTAGTACCCTATAATTATTTTTATGCTTATTTATTTTGACATGAATTTATAAACTTCTTAATTTAGGCAAAAAGTGATATTAACTTCTTTGATTGTATTATTTTTTGAATAAACTTATCTGACTGAAAGGCCCGTTGCTAATGCCATGCAGGAACACTTTCTTATATGCAAGTGTTTTATAAAATGTACATCTTCACCAACATAGCTTATTGCTCTGTAGTTTGGAAACGTTAGCACTGATTTTTGCTGGTCACTCTTTCAATGACTGATTCTACTTCCATTCTTGTTAAGGATTGTGAAAGTTTTTTGTATAGTATTTATGAGAAAGATACTAAGGGTGTGTTTGAGCCCATTTTTTGAAAGAATGGATTTTGTAATAGTGATTTTTAGGAGAATGTGTGGTAGGGAAAAATTTTGGGTTTCCGTGTTAAATTATTTTTTTGAAAGAAAGTGTGGTTGAAAATTAGTTTGAGAAAAAAAAAATGAGTTTTTGTAGAATGGGGCTCAAACAAGGGCTAAGCCTCTTCCTTAATAAATTAGGGGTTGTACATGAATTTGCACTCCGTTTGGTCTATTTTTATTTCCACAACATTTATAATGAGAAAAGGAAAATGTTATCAAATGACTAGAGCATTGTCATCGATTGTTCTCATCCATCTTTTGTGAAGATTTAAAAGCTTTCGTCATCATGATTTTCACATTTACTTCTTGGCTTTGCTCATAGCAATTGATAGAATGGTGTGATAGATGCCAAAGATGCATTGAATAATGGTATTATACTTTCCAGATAGAATGGTACAATAGATGCATAGATGTGTTGAATAACGTTGAAAGGCTATATCAAGGGAAAGACACAGCTGATATCATTCAGAGCAAAGTTTCGCAGGTATATATCCAGATTAGGCAAATACTGGTTTTCTGCTTTGATTACTGGATGCCTGCTAACACATTGTCAACAACGTCAGATTCTCAACGGTCTTAGCTGTTTGTTGGTGAAGTATTTTAATTTGGTAACTTTTTCTCTTAGTTTTTAAATGGGAAAAATGAAGATTTGAAGCTCTTTCTGGAGAAAGATTTGAAGTCTGGCGACTTTAGTGGTTTTCATGCCGAATGTCTTACGGATACATGGATTGGAAAGAATAGGTTTAGTATCTGTCTCTCTATTTTTCTGTTGTTGGTTAGATTTTGACTCTTAATCATTGGCACCATTTATCTCAGGTGGGCATTTATCGACTTGACTGCTGGTCCTTTTTCATGGGGACCTGCAGTGGGTGGAGAAGGTGTACGCACAGAACTGAGTCTACCTAATGTGGAGAAAACAATAGGCGCAGTTGCAGGTATTGGATAGTTGAAGAAGCTTTTGTTTGATGTGGTGGAATGGGCCAAGTTATTTTCATGTTATGATAGAGATTTGACAACCTTCAATAATTCTCCTGCTTTCCACGAGTCCATGCATTTCATATGAATATTTATTAGATGTGTGGCTCCACCACCACGTTTTGATGTTTTCAACAGGTCTGCTACAATATCTTGTATAATGGTGGCTATTTAAACATGCTGGGGAAAATGTGCTATTTACTTGTTTTTCAACCTTTTTACAATTATTCAAAATAAAACATTGTCAAAATGTGCAAGTTGGTTTATCTATTTACTGCTTATTGATGATGAATCCCTTGCCTGCTTTGCAATACCGATTATTCTTATATCTGATTGTCCACTGATTCTCTGATCCAGAAATTTCAGAAGATGAAGCTGAAGATCGCTTGCAAGAGGCTATTCAGGAGAAGTTTGCAGTGTTCGGTGATGTATGTTTGCATATAAGTTTTTTTTCTTTCATTGATGTATATAATTTAGCAAATAAAAAATTTATTATTTTATATACTCTAAAAGTTGACATGTAGGTCCCATTTACAATATTAAACATGAACCCGATTCACGCTTACAAACAAGCCATGGAGTTTATCTGCTGCCACTATGAAGGATCATGTTATGTTGTTATTTGGTCATACCATGTTTGTTGACCTGAGGATGTACACCTGCTTGTGATAGAGTTTCACTAGCTTGTTGGACAGTGGCCTTCAGTCTTGCAGGAAATCAATGATGATTAGTGTGTTTTAGTCTTGTTGTTCAATATAGTTGCAGATGCATAAATCTGGAGCTGGAGAGTTGTAACATTTCTGGCTCATCATAATAATTAACTGTCTCCCATCCCAATCCCCATTCTTGTTTGGTGTGCTTGTCTAAGCAGAATGCAACTCATCAATTGTGTCAACTATGGACTGATTTTTAAATGGAGAGTTAATTTCGAAGCTTCACTAGTTGTTCTGATGTTCTTCGTCTGGATTTGAATTGGTAAATGAAATAAAAGATGAGATAAGAGTTAAAAATGATCCTAATACAAAAACTTAAAAACCAAATATAGCTAGCATATGTGGAGAAGTGTACTGCTATGAATATCCTTTTGGCATTTTCTTCTTGGTTTTTGAAGAATATAAGTCTAATTTTTTTTTTTTTTTTCATGAGAGTTGAACAACATTATTCCGCTAAAAATTGTTTTCTATGTGTTTTCACAATATATAGGCTAACAACTATTCCGGTCTTGTCATGTATGGAATGAACAGTGGTAGGAGGGAGACAGAAATGGGCTTTCCCCTTTTCCAGAACCACATCCAATTGCCTTTAGAAAAGGATACATCCAGTTTAATTTCTAAAAAACTTGGAATACTGTGAAGGGACCAAAACCCAAATGTAGAAGAAAACTGCATAATTTCTTGATTTACTACGCAGAAATGACTTTGAATTATTTTAACTATATAAAATCATTATGGTTACTGCGAAAATTTATAGAAGTTTCCTAGTTAATTGAATATCATGGTTGTTGGTGAACAAAGCACCGAGTCGATGTCTCTGTGTGTATGTTGGGTTTTTAGATGTTATCCTTAAATTCTCTATTATTTACTGTTTGACACTTAGCATGTTTTTGTATATTACAGAAAGATCATCACGCAATTGATATCCTTCTAGCAGAAATCGATATATATGAACTTTTTGCTTTCAAACACTGCAAGGGAAGAAAGGTCAAGCTCGCTCTTTGTCAAGGTACATTGTTTCTGTTCTACACGTAGCAAATTTGGGTAGTTATTTAAACCCTACTGTGAAGTTGTTTGGCATTTAAAAGCTCATCCGACTGAACTAAGGTGACCAGCTGCAACAAGGATAGAGCGGCTCATTTCTTGTTAGAAGGGTTTTTTTTTTTCAAGATAGAACTTTCTGTTAGTTATCTGGTTTTGTCCTATTTATTTATACAAGACCTATACAAGATTAATATGCTCTCTGTTATGTATGGGATTATGGTCTTGTTCTACTACTTGCATACAATTTTTTTTGTTGTATTCTAAGCTGTCCTTTGTGTTCTCATGCAAATCCTTGTAAATTTTAATACCAGAGCTTGATGATCGCATGCAAGATTTGAAATCTGAGCTTCAGTCGTTTGAGGGTGAGGAATATGATGAAAGTCATAAGAGAAAAGCCGTAGATGCATTGAAACGCATGGAGAGTTGGAATTTGTTCACTGATACTTATGAGGTTTGCCATGGCATTTGTCCTATATCTGCCACATATCAAGATAATTTTTGTTTTGTTTTATTTTTGTTTATTTTTTTGTTTTTGAAAACTGAGCTCCTCCTGTTAAGATATATGACTGATACATCTTCATTTCTAGAAAATGAATTATAAATCTGACAAACTTGTGCCGATGCAGGACTTCCAAAATTACACGGTTGCACGTGATACATTCCTTTCTCATTTAGGGGCAACATTGTGGGGTTCACTGAGACACATGGTATCTCCTTCCCTTGCTGATGGAGCTTTTCACTATTATGAGAAAATATCATTCCAGTTGTTTTTCATCACACAAGAGGTAAAAATTATAGGCTCTCATTTAGTAATCTGGAAGTATTGGAAGGAAGTTTTTTTGAAACTTATCTTCACTCTTGATTTGTTCATGCAGAAAGTCAGACATGTTAAACAGTTACCTCTTGATCTGAAAAGTCTCATGGATGGGCTTTCCTCCCTGGTTTTACCTTCTCAGAAAGTGATGTTCAGTCCACACCTGTATGTGTTTTGTAATTAATTTACTTCAATAATTTCAAATAATTTATTATATGTCTGAGTTTCCATTGAACTTCACAGACCATTAGTGTTTGTCTGTATGCGTGTTCAACAACGTACTTACAAACCAGAAAGATACCATCTCTATTGTTAACATCAATCTTTTCCCGTCTTTCTTCTCATGTAAATGTCTTTTATCTGGTGGGCTGAACCGATTTACCTTGTGTTACCAACTCTGGACTTGTTTTATATAGTTTGCCACTATCAGAGGATCCTGCTTTGGCAATGGCTTTTTCAGTGGCTCGTAGAGCGGCTGCTGTTCCATTATTGCTTGTGAATGGCACGTATAGAAAAACTGTACGTTCTTATCTAGATTCTTCCATTCTTCAGCATCAGCTGCAGAGGCTGAATGATCATGCCTCTTTGAAAGGTTTGGTACCTAGACCTCTTTGCTCTCCTTCTTCTTCTTCCCTTTTTTTTATTTTTTTTTCCTGAAACTAATTATTTGCATATAGAAAGGCATATAGAAAGTGTGTATTGTCTCACGCTAACGGGTGACTACTACTTTGTCCAGTTCCTTTCCTTGCCTTCCCCATCCAATATGAGAGAATGGAGAAACAACATTGATGCTTCTCTGAGATAGACATGGTTATCTCATTATTGTGAATAGCTTGTTGTAAAAGCATTCATAGTCATAGTTTATCTCACGATCATGAACCCTAAAGTTGCTGGCATATTGTGTTCTTTGCCACTAGTGGAGACAGTACTCTGATGTTAATTAACTTTTCGAATGTCAATGTCTTGAAGTTCATACAGATTCTCCTGACAAGTTGGCAGATATGAGTGGATGATGAATTAATTTGTGGGTGTTGATCCTGATCTTGCTTAGAATGATTAGCATTTAACAGAAGTAGAAATTTTTTGGTGATGGCTTAAATAACGCACGTTACTACTTAATCATGGGGGAAGTATTATGTATACTTAGCTAAAGTAATGGACTCATGCCCAAGGAAATTTATGGCCTGTAAAGAACCTGATTGTCTTAACATGAATTCACTGATGAACAAACACACAAGTAGTGATGAATGGGAGTTTAACTTGCACATATTAGGGGAACTGAATTTGGCATCAAGATTGTTCAATTTAGCACATCAGAAGTTAATAAATAGTGTTCTAGGTTTAGATGCTAATGTTCTGCTAGCTATATTAATATGTTTTCTTTCATGATGTAGGATCACATGCACATAGCAGGTCTACGCTGGAAATCCCTATTTTCTGGTTCATTCATGGTGATGCGCTGTTAGTTGACAAGCATTATCAGGCAAAGGCACTTTCTGATATGGTTATTGTTGTTCAGTCAGAGCCGTCATCCTTGGAGAGTCATCTGCAATGCAATGGGCGGTCGCTTCTCTGGGACTTGAGGTTTACTTATCATGTCATTCATGATTAGATTTAGTAGTGATGGGGGCTGCAGCAACGTGTTCTCTACTTTTTGTTAGTGTAATTTTTAAATTTAGGTCGATGTTTATAGGAAATTCGCAGCTGCCTTTCTGGAACTTGTAGTTTCAGGTCTCATGCAAAAAATTATAAATGAAAATTGGGATGTCCTATTCCTAAATTTTTGATATATTAAGTTGAAGAAATAGGTTTAGAAAAGGAAGGGAAAGGGGAAGAGACATATTTGCGGAATCCTTAGTAGCGTGTGAAGAATTTAACTTCAGACACCACCTTTTGCATGGCCTATTCCAAAGTCCTTTCAAATGTTACTTTCATTTAGGTCCAGCCTAACTATTGCATTTCTCTGTTTAAATCAAGTATTACGTTGGTATTTTCTTTTGAGCCTTTGAGCTGCCTACCCATGATGAACTGCTGGCTCTGGTCAATGATTTTGTGCCTAATATGTGTTCTATATATCCAATAATGTGACGAAATCAACTATAGTATTTGAGTTTAGAACCTGTAGTGAATGGAGAAGGTGACTGTCAAACAGACTTTTTGAGCTTTTTTCTGGAGCTTTTTTTCTAAATGAAATATCATTCAACTAAAGATGATAATGGGCACATATGCGTATGTTTGGGAAACACTAAGTTTCTAGTCAAAGTCACTTCAAATTTATCCACGCATTTATAACTATCCACTTATTATCTACACATTTTGTGGGACCCACTACTTTCATTATAAGAAGATTATACTGAAACCCAAACATTCACACAGTATGTAGTTGTCGTAATTTTGACGTCCTTTGATGATGTTCAATCAACAAATTCAATGGAATTTGGTTGGAAATATAGTACTTCATTTTGAATGGCCTGTACTTATTGGCTTGTTAGAGAAAACATTTGAAGCTTCTATGGAACTTGTAATAAATCGTAAAGGTTGATTTGTTCTTTCTTACAACAGGAGGCCTATAAAAGCTGCACTTGCTGCTGTTTCTGAACATCTAGCTGGGTTGCTTCCTCTTCATCTAGTGTACAGTCAAGCACATGAAACTGCCATTGAGGTTATAACTTGTACACTGACCTTTTAACTTATGAAGCGTGATACTCCTAACATATTGCTATTGCTACTGTTAAAAAAAGGAAAAGGAAAAGAAGTTGCGTAGATCTGAACTTGAAATTGTTTTGAAAAGATTATTTTGTGCGAATACGTGTTTATGTAGTTTCAGAGGCATGCTTCAGTTTGATTTTATAATTTATTAATTACGACGTTAATTTTAGCAACTTTCTAAAGTCTTTTCTAAGAAAACATTATATTGTATGATTTGCCCTGAGAAATTGCTTTTTACTAGAAGAGGATTTTCGTTTGCCTCTTGTTTTTGTTTCCGTTAATTAAAAAAGAGATGAAACTTTGCTATGTGCTATCTATTGTTGAGATCTATTCCTAGTATATCGGATAAAAAGGGGGCCGTTAACTGCCAAGGTCTTCCCCGGACTCATTTGGCTGTGCATTTATATCGCAACACTAGACAGAATGCCCTTTGAAGAGAGAAATGCAGAATTGCCTGAATCCAATATCAAGGAGACTATTTAGCATTTCATCTTGTAACTGCATGTATTTGTATGGTGTACATATATTATATGCGATCTCTTCTAACTGGGAATTAGCCCCTGTTTGACAACCATAATCTTCAAACTCTTTTTTCTACATACTAATTTTTAACCACACATTCACAAAATAAAATATTCTACACTAGACTCAAAACTTTTCCCTACTTTTTTTAACCACGCATTCTCCTAAAAAACACTATTCAAAACTTTGTTTTCCCCAATTAATGGTTGTCAAACAGGGGCTTAGGGGTGGAACGTAGGACGACTTTGTTCAAACTAACTTGATTCATACTTGTTTTTTGATGTGCAACAGGACTGGATATGGTCAGTAGGTTGCCACCCACTGTCTATCACTTCTCAAGGGTGGCATACGTCTCAGTTCCAGTCTGATACCATTGCTCGGAGCTATATACTCACAACTCTTGAGGAATCAATACAACTTGTTAATTCAGCTATTCATCTTCTTGTTATGGAGCGTACATGTATCCTTTTGTTGCAGTAATATGGTCTATAATAGAACTCAAAATCATTTAACAAAGAAGAGTTATTTGTTAAATTTTATTTGAGAAAACTAATAATTAGTGAAAGATTATCCCATATTTCCTCTTTATATTATGCACAAGAAGATACTTGAAACTGCATTTATGCAGTGACTGAATGCACTGTGCAACAACTGATTCAGAGTGCTTCACACTATAGAGATGAAAATTCCATTGGTGCAGTTGGTTAGGTTTTGCTGTGTTATCATTGCCACCGTCAAGAGCACCTGCCGTTTCCCACTATACCTTGAATAGCTAAAACAGACATATTGGAAGGATTGCATGGTGACTTCTGCCCCCGTCGAAATGTTATATAGCCTGTGTTTGGCCCCATTTTTCCAAAAACTCATTTTCAGTCCCATAAAATAATTTTACAAGTAAATCCACAACTTTTTCTTATTTTTTAACCATACATTCTCAACAAAACACTATTCCAAAATGCATTTAGGTCAAAAAAAGGGCTCAAACAAGGGCATAATATTTTTATTCTGAACAAACTTGGGGATAGTTCATTTTTTATTGGGTCATGCTTTAGGATTTTCACCAGTTTCCTTGATATATTAAAGACATTCTCAATTTGTTGAGTGGATTTGGATTCAGATTCAGAATTAGATTCATACGATTCTTTTTTTTTTTTTGGATTTTATGTTGAGAGTTCCTTTTTCTCTGTTGAAACTTAATGAGAATTAGCGGAACAAACTTTCAAGCTCTTTCAATCCCAGGAGCGTGATTTGGTGAACAAATATAACTACGTTGTTAGTCTTTGGAGAAGAGTAAGTTCTGTTTAAATGCATTATCTCATGTATTGGCCAGCACTTCTTTTCATCACTAGTCTGTCGTACTGTTTTTATCCTTTTAACTGTATTTTCGAATATCATTTGGTCTTCTTACAGATTTCAACTGTTACTGGGGAACTACGCTATGCTGATGCCTTGAAACTGCTGTACACTCTAGAGGATGCATCCAAAGGGTTAGCTACTCAAACTTACCTTTTTAATGTATCAACCAATGACTTTTGGCGAGGTTTAGAAATAGGTCCCTGTAGATAACTCATCCTATTTTTGAATTTAATTTTTTTTTTTTTTTTCGGGGGATGGCAGATATAAACCTGAGTTAATATGCTAAGTTTCATGTTTTCTGTTGCTGACCTCTTTTCCAGTGTGTCCATTTCAGTTATGTAACTTCATGTCTCCTACATTCTGGGTTTTCTCACTGAGATTTTTTCTTCCTTTTTTTTTTTTTTGCCTCGCAGATTTGTAGACTATGTAAATGTAACTTTATCCAGTCTCCGTCCAATTCACTGCACTAGACAGAGGAAAGTCGAGGTTGAGTTTGATATGACCACAATTCCTGCCTTTTTGGTGGTTCTACTTGTACTCTGGTTTGTATTAAAGCCAAGAAGACCAAAGCCGAAGATCAACTGATTGTTTATGTTGGGATGCTAATATTGCTAAACACCTTAGTGCAAATTTGCCTTCGGCACCATAGGAGAAGAGCATACAGCTATTTGTGTTTTACGTCTGTACTTCAAAGAAGCTAATGCGATCTTCAGTTACATGGGATCATAGTCGAGTTAGGTCAAAGAAAGTAGTCGGAATGTTGAGGCCAGAACAGTGTGCATCTATAGAGTCTCTAATTACATTTTCCCAATTGGTGTAACAGCATTTCTAGATTTTGCTATGTATCTTGAAGAGGTAAAGATTTGTATTTTTATCTGAAATTCTCAACATACTGGAAGGCGCATCTCTTTAATTTATGTTGGCTTTTATGGTTGGTCGCGCTTAAATAGTGGTGCTTGAACTGCATATTTTTCTATGAAAATGGATGAAACTATTAAAGTACTTATTATTTCTTTGTTTATAGGCTTATATCCCCACAGTATTATCTTTACATAGACCCACAGTTTAGACACTTGTGCAAAGGGGGAAATCGGACAACCTTTGCTATACCCCATGGATTGACATTTACCTTAATAGTGTTGATTGTTGGGTTTATCGTGTATTTTAGAATTATTTTGTTCATCCAATGGGTTTCCTCATTCAAGGAGACAGAGATCTGTAGCCTCTCAGTAAATTATCTAATGGAGAGACGTCATTTTAAAAGCAATGTTAGTGTTGCATATTCGCATTTGCTAACAATAGCTAATGTTGCCAAGGTGTTAAAAAAGTAAGCAAAAGAGACAGTCGAGCGGGCAGCCAAATGTGAACAACAGATTCAACTCTTCGACCACACGGAGTAAAGCGAAGTAAAATTCTTGGTAAAAGAGGGACATTATCCAAATGGAGAATATTGGCTTACAAATAATAGATTCAAGATGCATACCCTTTATAGTACTGAGGGAGTACGAACTTATAGTCAATGAATATTTATCTAATTATTTATTTACAGCAACAGTATCAGTTAGTTCTCTTCCCTTTGTTTCAAATGGGAGGAACAGAACACTAATAGCTGAGAGAATTATTACAACCTCAAATAAAATTATTGCAGCCATTTGATGACAACCAGACATCAAATCTACGGCTACGAGTGGACAAATCATGCCCGCAATTCTTCCCACTGCGCTGGCAAGTCCGACTCCTGTTGTCCTCACCGATGTCGGATATATCTGCAGAGGATATACAAGCCTTGAGAAAGAGAGAAAAAGCAAAATCTCAGTTTCCTCTTGTTAGTTCTTATTAAAACATTGATAACATGCCTTCAAACCACCTAAGTCACTGTTCCTTTAGTTTATTCACAATAGGAGCCACCTCCGTCGGTTGGCACATATTCTCATCTTATCCATTCGAGTACGATCCACATTTTGGAAGTTTTTTCTAAATGGAAACCAAATGCAGTGCAGGAAGATCGGGAAAGGAATCCGAAAAAAAGGGAAAATTAGGGTTGGACTCCCCAACATTTCATGTGGTCTGGTTATAGATCCCAACCTTCAAAAGTGAGGTTCTGGTTCTCCAATATATTTAAATTTGTGAATCTTGGTCCCACGTGATCAAAACTATCAACGTGGACATTAAAATTTCATACGACTTTCACATGACTAAAAGCTTGAGGTACGAACGGTCAAACCACTTAACATTTCCCTCCAATTCAACTCAAAGTTGCGTGTGATTAAGCGATTTTATTTTAACTTCTATATTGACAATTTCGATCACGTGGAACCCGGATTCATAGATTTAAATAGGTTGGGGACATGTAGGCAAATCACATAAAAGGTTGGGAAGCCTAGCCCTAATTTTCACAAAAGTAAAAGCATATTTCTCCACGTCACTGGATTCTTTTAGTAGGGTGAAAGAGTATGCAGTTCATAGACAACTTTTCATCTTGACTCTCCAAGCCTTAGAAAGCAAGAGAGAAGGATAAACGAAAATAATAATTTAGTGCAGCATACAAGAAAAAAGAATCAAAGCAATAAGAGCACGGATAATAAATGATTTACCTCCGGACAGTAAACACCTGCAACTGTGAAGTTCCCATTGATGAACATACGAGCTCCAAATAATAGAGCCGTGGTCCAAATTTTGTAATGATGGAACATCAGAGGTAAAAGGAACATGAAGCCAAATAAATACATAAGTAACATGGAAATTTTGCGACCAACTTTGTCCACAAGAAATGCAGATAAAATGAGACCAGGAAGCTCTGTAAACAGGTAAATAAGTAAACTCAGAGATGCAAGTAAATGCGGAAAGAAGAAAGAACAAGATCATGTGATGTGCCACAAGAGATAGATGATCAATAAAGTTAAGCTAAGGGTTGTGAAGTGTATGAACGGTTTAATTATAAATAGATAGAAATGAGTAGTGTATAAGTTAGTAGTACTTGTTGGTTTCACAATGTATAAAAAGTGATTTGACCGATTATAAATAGTTTATAAAGATTAGCCAAACATTGGCTTAGATTACCTGCAAAACTAGTGACAAATACATCTATATAAAGGCTAGAATCCTTCAATATGCGTGAATTCAGAATAGCTGAGTTGCATTTGATTTCCCCACTGCTGAACTCCGAGGTCATTAATACGACACCATAATATGAAAATGAATTTCCATAGTAGATCATCCACAAGAGAAGGGTGGTCTTCACTAAGCTTGGAGAAAACAGCACGAGTAACGACGAGAAGCCTGGTTTAGATATGGCATTCTTGTCTCTTCCTGTGGATAGTAACTGGGTTTCTTCCGAACGTGTCATTTCATCATTCATCTCAGTCACTTTATCAGAAACAAGCAAACCAGAAGGAAGTTTCGTTTGATTGATTTCTGCCATTTTCTTCAAAACATTATAGGCTTCATTGATCCTACCATTCATACATAGATACCTGGGAGACTCTATTGTGAGAAAATAAAAGAGAAAGGCAGTAAAACAGGGTACTGATGATAGTGCAAGCAACCATCTCCATCCCAATCTTGGCATTACGATCTGCAGATATAGCATTTGAAAATCTAAAATATTATACCATTCTTCAGTTCTTCAACGGCATTACAATACATGGATAATGGATAAAGAAAACTTCCATATAGACATTTATCATTTTTAAAAATGATACTTGCCAAGTGAGGGTATACAAGTATGCAAAAGCCACTTCATTATGGTATCAAAGCATCCAAAAATCACTGCCATGCATTTAAATGAATTGTGCACGTGTTAGACTTTGATTGGAAAAATGAACCCCACAAACACGTGAGGAGATGTGTTGAAAATAATATTTAGAGCTTGTTTGGGAGAGATTTTTAGGGGAATAATTGATTTTGAATAGTGATATGATGAGAAATGTGTGGTTGAAAAAGAAGAAAAAATTATTGATGTGATGGAAAATATTATTTTATTGAAGAATGTGTGGTTGAAAATGAGAATTGATTTACTCTAGATGTGATGGAAAATATTATGTTATTGAAGAATGTGTGGTTGAAAATGAGAATTGATTTACTGTAGAAAAATCTAATCCCTCCCAAACAGGGCCTTAAATGATAAATGTGGTTCTATCTAACAACTTAAACTTTTAGATCAAGTAGTTCAACATGTTAAATATATTATACATAAGAAGTTATCGCCATTTTCAACAAGTAGAAGGCTAGTGAAGGAGACAGATATCAAGAAAATTGATGTACAGAAAAAAGAGAAATAAACAGAACAAAATACGTTTCGTCACATTGAGAAACAGCAAAGGATTGACTTCAATGAACAAGTGTATTACAAGGATTGCTATTCCTTCAATGTCAAGTTAAATAGTCAGTTGAATATGTTTAGAAAACTGAACTTCTTTTGGATGTTTATATCAATTCCGTTAAACTAAAGTTAAAGTATCCACATAATATTAAAATTCAAATAAATCAAACGTAACCATTCAATTCAATGAGAAACGAAGCTCCAACAGATTGTCCTGTTGAATAAAAAGTCATCCCATAATTCATCTAGAGACCCAGGACAGATTCTAGTCTTTTTATATTAGGAGACCATAGAAACTGACTCGTGAAGCTATCGTATAATAGGGAAAAGTCGAATGAAATCATCTTATTGATTGTAATAAGAGAATGTTATATAATCCAAGAAGCAAAGACATACCCATGCCAATGCGGCCTCGAGTAGTGTTCCAATTGTCCAAAAAGTAGAAAATACAACCATCCAAATGCCCCTGTTTTGCATGGGAACAAACTCCAGAAACCAAGCCGAGTACACAGGTCCACCACCGAGACCAATTCCAGCTACCATACGGCACACAACCAATGATATATAATTGGGTGCAAAGGCACTAAGAAGTGCAAATATGCTAGTTACTGCTGCTACACTCAAAAGACCCATCCTGAAATACAGACTATATTGCTTAAATCTTTCAAACAAATATGTAATGGAGTAAATGCAGAGCTAGCATATAGATAGACATCAGCATACAGGTATGTAAAATGAAACTGAAAAGCAAGAATCAATTGTTTCAGTGTCCAAGTAGGAGAAGTACATTCTGATATGAATTATGATTGTCAAATGAAAGAATAAGAAAACTTCAAAAAGACTAGAGTTGAATCTTAGGATGCGCATAAGAAATAATCATATAAGCAACCCAAACTAAACATTACCCCATAATTATGTGTAAATTTACTTTTCTCGTGACAAACATTATATACGAATATGGGAACTAGATAAATAGGCTTGCCTTCTTCCGTAGTTATCAGAAATGATACCCCAAGAATAAGCTCCAATCAGCATTCCGGCAAAAACCACGGTGGTTATCAGGCTTTCTTGGCCAGACGAAAGCCCCCATTCAGATTTCACCGATGGTCCAATAAAAGAGAGTATCATCACCTCCATTGCCTCCGCCATCGACCCAAGTCCCGCGTAAAAAAGCACTAGAACTTGAAATTTCCCAAAACCAACCTCTGCAAGTGCTTCATCCAGTGTATACTCAAGCCCATTTTCATCATTATCCCCAATCTACCAAAATTATATACATAAACAACAATAAAAAAATTTCCAGACTTTCCCTATTCAACCAACTAATTTGGAATAAACAACGAAAACCCTTTTCCCTTTTTTTTTGACAAAATTATTGATTCTGGTTTCTACAGTAAGGATTAGACAAATTTCATTCTTGGTGCAGCGTGTAAACAGATGAGAAAACTGTAATTGATAATTGAATAGTAGATTGTAAGAAAGAAGAGCGGTTTAAGAGCTGTATTTACCTCATTGTTCATTATGAAAATCTTCGCTGGTCGTTGGTTTGATCTTCAACTGGAGTTTGGATACGAGGAATAATAATGTGTGGAAATGAGGATCATCATTTTGTCAGATTTTTTTGCCTTCCCTTTTTGGCTGCTTCCATATTCAAACGTCTCCTTCCAAAAGTCAATCCACCTATTACAAAGGGAATAATTTCAATTTTGGTAGCTGAGCTTTTAGTGAAATCTCAATTAAGTTATAAAACTTTAATTTGTAACAAGAAGATAGTTCTAAACTTCATTTTACTTATAATGTTAGTCACTCTATTAGCCCGATTACTAAATTTAATGTCACAATCCTTCGTTGGCTTGTCCTAGGTAAAATCTTGAAATTGAAGATGGTATGCTATGTTCATGAATTACCATCGATTTATTTTCAAATTTCACATTTACCATATGATTAGGTAGTATATTTATCTAGAAATGAAAGACACCTTAGATCGTTGTCAATTTTCAATGCTTATATATGATTGTGACAAATTAAAATTAGGTGATCCAAATGAAATTTCACTATAGTCCCTACACTCTTAACAAAAAAAAGTAAAATGAGCCCCTAAATTTTTATTTTTTAAAAAGATAATAGATAAAGATTGAAGAGGCTCAACATCCCGTTTTAGTGGAGGGCCTGCTATTTGTTTATATCAATTAGTTTGTAGGGGATTCAATGCAGATTTTGATGGGAATCAAATGACAAGCTACATGAAACGGATCTTCGGAAGTCCACAGAAAAATTATTGCTAATTGACCGAAGTGAGATTCAATGTAGATCTAACTTTCGATTCACTCGTGGGATCCCGGTTAAACGATCCTCTTCGGATAATTCATCCAACCCAAGGAGGGTTTGCGGTGGTGGAGGAACTCGATCGGAAAAAAGGGGGTAGCTTCATCTTTACGAAATATTCTACTACTTGAATATGGATCCAAATGTTTAACTCATAAAATATCGTAAGAAGAAAATATGACTTGAAATTTTCAAACTATAAGTTTGCATATTAAAACTTGTACCGATTTTTCTTAGCTTAGAAACTAATCTTTCGATAATCGCCCACACAAAATCCGTTACCACAAAGTCCACTTGCCACGTTTTAATGTTCAAGTTGAACATAAAGCTGCCGATAATTCTACCATCACAAAACTCATGACTTCGGCCTACTATTTATGACATTGTAGCATCCTTATTCTCAGCTAACAACACATTTATTTAAATGTTAAATGACTAGTGACACTCACATGATGTCGACGATGAATTGAAGTAAGGGGATAATTTTCATGAATATGAAAGAATTTTACACTATTGAGATTTGTAAATGAAAGTTAAAGTTATTTTTTTGGACTATTTTTTAAGGAATGTAATCTTTTTGGACAAGTTTAGCCATTCAACTAGACATCACGTGAGTATCAAATAGTCATTTAACATTCAAATAAATTTTTTTGGTTAGCTAGTGACATGTATGTCATACTCATAAGATGTTGGGGGCCCTTTGTGAAATTGAAGTGCCTGGATCTTCTAAGTCATGTTCAAAACGAAAACTTTGCTTTTGAGATCTATTCAAAACAGAAAAACAGAGGATCGACAAAATTGTGCGCTAACAAACTCAACTAAATCAGCCACAATATCACACAACAATGTGCGAAGTGACATTTTTCTCATGAAATGTGCCAAATTCATTACAAACTACCACAAATTAAATTTAAAAAAGAGTATTGTTTATGTCAATTGTTTGATAATGGGTGAAATACGAAGGCCCACTATTTTAGGTCCGAAATCCATAGAGAAAATTACTTGAAACCCTCCTTTTCAAGATTACAAATTAAATAGATATAAGTTATTTCCACATAAGTAATATTAAAACACTCTATCTCGAGTGGTGAGGAACCCATTATTTTCTTTAGATGTCAAATGTTCAATTCGCTTGAACCCTAAAATTCTGTAAGAGAATTTTAAAATTCAATCAAATCGGTTAATCGGACCCGGTAAATCGTCGGTTAACTCGGTCAAAGCCCATTTTTGACCGAGTCAAGTGCATTTCGATTAAATTAAGAGAAAATTACCCAAAACTCTACTTTTCAAGATTACAATTCAAAAATAAGGGGATAAAGTTTTACAATTCAAAAATCAGGTGATAAATAAGATTATTAATTAATATTATAAAACTAAAAATTAATTTATATACACAACACCCCACTCCACCACACACGCCAGATTCGAATCTGTTCACTTTCTCTCTCTCATCCCTAAATCCCCAAACCAAAACTCAAACGGCGGCTTAAACACACGCCAGATTCAAATCTGCCCAAATTAACGCAGCTGTCTCCACCGCCTCCACCGGCGGACGCCCCGGCCAATTTACTCGAGGAGCGCGTCATTGCCCAGAGTTGCGATATCGAACTCCTCCTCTTGGACAACCAGCGCCTGGCCAACGCCCACACGGCGCTCAAACAGGATTTGGCTGCCGCTGAGCAAGACATCCACCGTCTTACAGCCACTACTGTCTCCATCAAGGTCGAGAGGGACACCCCAAGTCCGTGAGGTCTACGAGCGGTCCCTTAAATTGGAGGCAGAGGCCTATTCCATTAATGGGCTTGTTGCTGAGGTGGACCAAGTCAGAGCAAATATTGAGGAACTCCGGGCAGAGAGAAAGGAGCTCACTCATAAGTTGAAGGACATTGATGTCGATCTTGCAAAGATCCAATTGGAGTTGCAACAAATGGCTGCCATCAAGGCTGAGACTGAAGTGTATAGATAGGCTATACTTTGAAACTAGGAAGGAGCAGCGGCGCTTTGAGTGTTGCTGTAGCAGATTTGTGGTGGTTTGTGGTATTTTTTTCCAGATGATACTGTGCTTGTATTCGTGGTTTCATTTCCATCTAGTTTGCTGACAATTGTAGTTTGCTTCAAATGTTCACTGTACTTGACTCTTGTATTAGACAACATATTTCTTCTTCTTGTTGAGCATTCAAAAATGAGAGATTTTTTCCAGATGATAGTGATCAAATATGTGTCTATTGTGACTTGTTATGACCAATTGTTACTGTTTGTGACCAATTGTGACTGACTAATTGTGACTTGTTATGACCAATTGTGACCGATTGTGACTTAAATTCTAGAAATTGTTTGGAAATTGGTCACTAACGGTCACACTGAACACAAATTTGGTCACATTGAAGACTACAACCGAAGTTGGTGGTGTCGGCGAACTTTTCTGATCCAGATCGAGATTTGACTACCGGGTAGTTCATTGTGACTGTTTGTAACCGATTGTGACCGTTTGTGGCCGATTGTGATCGTTTGTGACTGATTAATTGTGACTCGTTGAGACTGATTGTGACCGTTTGTGGCCAATTGTGACCAATTCATGTGTTGGGGGGTGTGATTTTCAATTTTCTGAAAATTTTGAAATCGCCGGAG